AGAAAGCACCTCCAAATAATTCTAATGGTAGTGAAAATTAAAACTAGTGGTTAGAAATACTTTGTGCATTCAGACTGAGCCTTCAGGGAGGAGATGGGGGGGCGGTGGGGATTGTGAACACTTCGTCACGGGAACAGAAGGTGAGGATGTGAATTTATAGAGTGTGAGATTGGAAGAAGGCGGGGTTTTTAGCCATGCTCCTCCCCTAAACTTCAGTTATAACAGAACTAGATTGTTTAGAAAACAAACCCCAGCCCAATTTTTATACTTGGAACACCAACCGATCGATCGATCGATCGATCGATCGATAGATAGATAGATAGATAGATAGATAGATAGATGGATGGGTAAATACATGAATAGATACATACAGATAGAAAGATCAATAAGACAGACAGGTGGATAGATAGATGTCCGACACCGGTCAGTAGGGCTAAAAGATGAATCATATTTAGATCGAAATCACAATTTAAGAAATTTAAGAAATTTTAAAATCTCAAGAGCTGCAATTTTTTTACAAATATTGTCTACATTATTAAAAAACGCTGTCTTAAGTTTTAAGAGGGGAAATTTAACTTTGTAACTCAGAGCTTATGAACTGCCTGTAGATGCGTTAGACCAATCAGCGGCAACCAAACCTTCATGTGTTGTGACATCACAGCCACAGCTTACTGGCAGTCTGGCTCAACACTTTCAGGGGTCGAGCCCAGAAAAAGTCAATATTCTGGTCCTCATGGCAAAAAAAGTCTGAACCTCAATTTATAAAATATAATCACAATTTAAACCGCAGCTGCAATTCTAGTCAGAAAAATCACAATTAGATATTTTCCCAAAATCGTTCAGCCCTACTGATCAGGTAGCAGACCTGTAGCAATGTGGAGACACCAGATTTTAAACGACGTCTGTGTGTGTTTACAGTACGCGTGTGATATAGAGGCGGAGGTGGTGGGCAAACCGGCCCCCATGTTCTTCCAGAGCGTTCTGAATGATATGGGCATCCAGCCTCATGAGGTAAGATGTACACACAAGGGTTGAAAGACCCATTTTCTATATATTTCTTGTATTTTATTTTATTTTCTCCCCAGAAAAACAGTCATAATTCATTTTTACATGACCATTTTCTAACCTCTTTTTATCCCTTAGAACTAAACAGGCTGTTACTGTGCCTTTATATGCAAATGAGCTCTGTTCTCATTGGCTGCCCTATATTATGCCTCATTCAAAACGCTAAAATGTGTAACAAACTGTACAGACTGAAATCCTCACGAATGTGTGAGAATATAAACTTCAGATTTGTTTATCCTTTGGATCCATTTGCTTCCTGACTGCCAGGAATGTAGATGTGCTCATGGTTGTGATGTCACAACCATGGTGAATTCAAAACGAACTGTATTTGAAGCTTTGTTTCTGTTGGCCTGGGGAGTAAAACATGTTTAAATTCTTTTATTTCAGAAAAGCAAAGAAAATTCTGTTTTCCATGAAATGAGCCCTTTAAGATACACTTAGGCCTAATCCTATTTCTTATTTTCACCCCTACCCCTTGTTTTTGAGGGTCTCCTTGGAACTGAGTTACAGGGTAGTGGTTGAAATCTTCCCTCTGAAATGGGACCCTCAAATAAAAAGAGCATCACTTCTTTAACAGCTACCAGCGCTGCTCTGTAGGCGACCCTGCCAGTCTGCAGTGACAGCAGAGGAGGGTAAAGTTCAGCTCCTCACTGCTGGGCTTTAGTTACATTTAGGGCATCATATGATCTTCAAAGAGGGGGCAATTATTTATTATCACCCACCCCTAATTCTTCAGTGATATGAAGCTGAAGTCAGATATTCACCAGATTCTTGTTAGAATTTTCCCGTTCCACCTTAAATAGCTTAGATGTTCTGACACCTGAGGAGCCAGAATGTAACTGCTGCACCATTTAAGGTGGAACAGGAAATTTAGATAGCTACTGAAAAATCAGCACTAGTAGTGATTTTTAAAGCTTGTTATGAAGGAAATGACCAAAATACACTGAAATGACATTAAACTAAGATAATACAGTGGTTATTATGATTTTTATTGGAGAAAATTCTCACATTTGTGGGTTTCTTTGGTCTCTTGTTCTCCATCTTGCCGGTTTTTCTTTTTTTCTCATAACTCTCTGTTTGGAGTCTCTGAAAAACCTCCGTTTGGAGGTCATGTAGCTCTAACACTTCACCCTACCCCTCTATCTCAACAGGAATCAGGACACCCTACACCTAGACGAGAATGTGCAAAACGGAGGGGTAGGGCTAAGTGGTAGGGGCGAGGGGTGAAAAGGGACTGGGCCTCAGTGGTGCAGTTAAATTTAATTTGGCATCTAAAGTCTCTCTCTCTCTCTCTCTCTCTCTCTCTCTCTCTCTCTCTCTGTCTCTCTCTCTCCCTCACTCAGGCATTAATGATCGGTGATGATCTGGTGAATGATGTGGGAGGGGCTCAGCAGTGCGGTATGAAGGGTCTTCAGGTCAGGACGGGAAAATACAGGTTTGTGCTCATTCTAACTGTCGGCTTTTACCAACTCCACTGTCAGAACTGCTCCAGAAATATTCCATCATTTCACCTCTCAGCACACCTGGATTAACTCACCACCTAATCTGTGTGTTAGAGCCGGGAAAAAGGCTGTGTTACAAGCAGAGGTGGACTTTGTATTTTCAGTAGGGATTCCAGAACTTCAATTCCGATTACAAGTAATAGGAATCACTGGAGTCAATGCCAAGAGTGGATTCCACACAGTAATCTTGTTTCCAAAAACCGAAAATAGAGAAGGACATCTGGCAAAAATAAAGCTCCAAAGATTCTGAGCTTTGGATTTTCAAATGTCTGAAATTGGGGAATCTATTCTTTTTGTGATCATCCTGTTTTTCATTATAATGGTTTAAAAAACTGGAAAACTGGATAAAGTCTATAGAAAGTCTATAGAAACTGGATAAAGTCAATAGAAAGTCTATAGAAACTGGATGAAGTCTATAGAATAAAATTGTGCTTGTAAACACAGTGATATTACAGCAAAAGTCTAAACTAAAATGCAAAAAAATGTCACCAATTGTGTAAAAGTAACAACATTACTGTGCACAAGTGTTAAGCAGCCATGAAAAGTGTTTAAAACTGTTCAATATAATTTTCTCAGATGGCCAGAGACTTTTGCGCAGTACGTTATTGCCTTCTTTTAGCTGTTACGCTCTAACAAAGTCCAGATAAATCACATCCATACACCACACACCTTCGTCAGGCCCACAGAGCCGTCTGTGTTTCATATCTGCAGATTTCTTAGTCATTTTTTCCAGATCAATATTCTCTAACATGCTGTTTTCATGAGCTTCTAGCTGAGCTGATGACTTGTCTTGGTTAGCTTTTCCCAATGCATACCTGCTCTCTCACTCTCCTGCCATTGACGGTCATTGCAAAGGGAAAATCCACCCTTTTTCCAAAATTTCTTGACTTAACAATGACTTAACAATGTGTATTTGAGTCACTAGAGGGCGCCAACGTATATCATGTGGACACTGTGGGAACCAGTGCAGAGATTAGAGATTATGGATCCCTCTGTTTTAGTGTAAATACACCACCACATGGCTATCCATTCAAGCAGAGAGAGACAGAGGGGAAGCTCCTGGTGACTGTATTATCGCGTAACAGAACCATCTCTACACTATTTTGGTCTGTTTAATCTCTAGAGCAGTTTGAGAGGCTGGTCAGTGTGAACCTTGAACAGTGTGTTCTATAAATCAAAGTAAGTTCTCTATAGGCCCACTTTTGTTAAAGGGCCCATATCCTGCATTTCTGTTGTATCTCATTTTTGCCCATGAGGTTCTTTTGTAAAGCTTATGTTGTAGATTTTTGCACCAAAACCAGTTTCAAACCTCTCTGTATCCCCTACAATTAAACAGGCTTCTTTTTGCTCTATCTTTAAGACTGATATATGTAAATGATCTCTGTTTTGGTTGGCTGTATTGTGCCTCATTCAGAAAGCAGTCCAGGCTGAAACAATCAAAACATCAGTGTGAATGGGCGGAGCTTAAAATGCTATCAGCCAAATGGGTGGATATGTAAATGTGTTGGGTTTTTTGCGACATCACAAAAACAGTGAACTATTTCTGCAGTTTGCTTTCCGTGTGTGGACTGTATGGACTTGAGAGTGAAACAGTACAATTTTGAAACTGTAACCTTTAGAAAACTCAAATTTCAGGAATTTTTTGGTATTTTTTGGTCAATTACAATTACCATTGCAATTATAGGGACACATTTAAGTATTTACATGTGAAATATACACATGCCATATGTGTAACTTAAATTACATAAGTTACACCGATCAGGCATAACATTATGACCACCTCCTTGTTTCTACACTCATTGTCCATTTTATCAGCTCCACTTACTATATAGGTGCACTTTGTAGTTCTACAGTTACAGACTGTAGTCCATCTGTTTCTCTGATACTTTGTTAGCCCCCTTTTACCCTGTTCTTCAGTGGTCAGGACCCCCATGGACCCTCACAGAGCAGGTACTATTTGGGTGGTGGATCATTCTCAGCACTGCAGTAACACTGACATGGTGGTGGTGTGTTAGTGTGTGTTGCGCTGGTATAAGTGGATCAGACACAGCAGTGCTGCTGGAGTTTTTAAACACCTCAGTGTCACTGCTGGACTGAGAATAGTCCACCAACCAAAAATATCCAGCCAACAGCATCCTGTGGGCAGCGTCCTGTGACCACTGATGAAGGACTAGAGGATGACCAACACAAACTGTGCAGCAGCAGATGAGCTATCGTCTCTGACTTTACATCTACAAGGTGGACTGACAAGGTAGGAGTGTCTAATAGAGTGGACAGTGAGTGGACACAGTGTTTAAAAACTCCAGCAGCACTGCTGTGTCTGATCCACTCGTACCAGCACAACACAATCTAACACACCACCACCATATCAGTGTTACTGCAGTGCTGAGAATGATCCACCACCCAAATAGTACCTGCTCTGTGAGGGTCCATGGGGGTCATAATGTTATGCCTGATCAGTGTAGTTTATGTCTGTCTGTGCTGTCTAGTATGTCTGTCCATTTGTCTTTATGTCATATTATGTTATATTTTGCACATCAGAGTTGGAGTAAAGTCTCATTCATCTGTGCACTTCTTGTATAGCCTGAACAACAATAAAGTTCACTTTGACTTTGACTTTGAAAAACATTCCATTCACTCTCCAGTTCATACAGTCCATATATAAAAACCTACAAACAGCCTTTTTTAAATTAGTTGTTGTTGTGATGTCATATATCTACCTATTCAGCCTTTAGCAGCTTATCCCCACTCATTCATGCTGAAGCAATAAGCAGTGTTTCAGCCTGGGCCTGGCTTTTGAATGAGGCAGCCAATCAGAACAGAGGTCGTTTTCATAGTTTAGTCTTAAAGGCACAGTAACAAAACAACCTGTTTAATTCTGAGGGATAAAGAGAGGTTAAAAAACGGTCATATGAAATGAAATTTGATGTTTTTGGTACATAAACCTGTATAAACATCATGAGTGGACTTCAAGAAATACAAACAAGTAGGATGTGGGCTGTTTTTTAAAGTTAGAACTAGAAAAGTTTGAAGAAAAGTTTGTTTATTTATATTTATTTGTCTCATGCTTGTTGTGATACAGCATGATTATGAAATCTAGTGACTGGAAAATGCTGAAGTCAGCGTAAATAACTGCGTCCATCAGACAAGAAACACACGCACAGTTGTTGAGTCAGTATCACATGCGTCCTTCGGTCGCTTATCATTCCCTGAATCGTCTCTGTTTTCAGTTTTTGGGGGATTCTGTTTTCAGCAGTGGACACAACAGACACTAACAGAGTAGAACTTCCCAAAAAGTGAGTGTGCGTGTGGCCACAGTGGTCTTTGTTCACCACGGCCCTTTTGGCGGGTTTCTGAGCCATCTGGAAATAAGCCTATTATGTCATCCATCCTCCCTCTGCCCCCCTCCCCCCATTCCTGGACACTTCTCCTTTCAGACCACTTCAGCTGCACATACAACTGACCTCCTCAAGCTTTTTGGAAAGTTGGTAAAAATCACATTCAACCCGGGTTTTGTTGAAAATGTTATCAAAATCTAACCAAATATTTAAAACTGGAAACTCAGGATGGACCTTTCAAACCGAATTAGTTCAAACTGCTCTCCCGCAGTATACCCTACTTAAAAACAATGAAGTCAAACTTTAGATTTTTATCTATTAGGATTATGTTTTGATCCTTGATGTTATTTTTCAGTGTTTTGATTTATTTTAAAGAGAAGTTGAAAGATTTAGATTCATTATGACTTTCATTTTTAAATAAATAAAAAAAAACCTTTAAAAAATGCTATCCCATATGTTCATGTCAGTACCGAAACACAGAGTTTTCATGTGTGGGTGGAGCCTCAGTTAGCCACGCCCCTGCATTTTAGAGCAGGAAGTGAGGCTGCATCCCTGTCCCTCATGGCCACATGGTGAGCAGGTAGATCCCATTGTTTTGAAGTAAATGTGTCCCAAAGTCTGAAAATCAATGTGGAACAGTCAGAATTATCATTACTGAAACACAGATTTTCTCCTATTACGAGAACTTTTTAAAATAAAAAATATGATGATTTTCTGTGTGAACAGCTGTTCAAAGCTGTTTGCTGGTCATTTACTGGCTGTGTTTTTGAGTTCTGCTCAAAATGAGCTGAAATGTCACTACTGAAATGTCACTACTGAAACAGTCACTACTGAAACATTTGACAAAGCTTTGTTAGGGTTATGACTGGTCAAGACAGTCAAAAGTCTGACGTGTTAAATTAAGCTCAGTTTATCTAACGCATGTGCAGCTATGCAGCAGTTGATGTGAAACATTTGTAGGTCAAGCATCTCTTCGTTATGCTTTACCTTACTGACCCACTACAATACCAGGCCACTTTATTAGAAACACCTACCTTTTACTTCCACTCACTGGCCACTTTATTAGAAACAGCTACCTTGTGCTTTCACTCACTGGCCACTTTATTAGAAACACCTACCTTGTGCTTCCACTCACTGGCCACTTTATTAGAAACACCTACCTTGTGCTTCCACTTGCTGGCCACTTTATTAGAAACACCTACCTTGTGCTTCCACTTGCTGGCCACTTTATTAGAAACACTTACCTTGTGCTTCCACTCACTGGCCACTTTATGAGAAGCAACAACCAGGAGGTGTTGTACAGACTGTAACTCATCTGTAGCTGCACAGTTTGTTGGCTCCCCTCTACTTCATTAATCATCAGTCAGTTTCTGACCACCACTGTTGTCCAGATATTATTTGAGTGGTGGTTCATTCTCAGCAGTGACGCTGACATGGTAGCACGTGTGGTGCTGGTATGAGTCTATGAGACACACGTTAGTGTCATTGCTAGATTATGAGTCGACCGCCACCCAATATACCCAGAAACTGACCACTGATAAAGGGCTAAAGGATGACTAATGACAGTCTCTAACTGTAGACCAGCATGGTGGAGC